TACAAGGTTCAGATTGGGCTAACCAAGGAGTAAGTAGGGAATCTAAAAGATTTTCCACTATATCCACCTTGCATTCATCTTCCCCTAGGTTTGGCTACTTAGAGGCACTAAAAATGTTTAATCGTACTTTTACTCCCCTAATGAAATGTCTGTTTCTCCTAATTTACAGTTAATGTTCGTATTGACCGTTGCTAGAAATGGACATCTTAAGATTATCGGGATATGGTTCAGTTCCTCGGTTGGGGTCAAGCTTAGGATGATGAAATCCATTGGGAAGTGACAACCCTCTACCCTAACAATAATGTCCTCAATAACACTTCAAGTTGTCTTGACTAACCAATCAGCGAGTTGTAGAATTATTAGGGTAGGTTTTAACTCGCTAATCCAGAACTTGTCATAAATGGATGGAAGCAGATTTATACTGGCCCCAAGATCCAATAGGACCTGACTGAAGGTGATTCCAGAAATGACACAGGTTTGAGAGGAGCACCAGAGTCTTTCATTTCTTAGGGAAGTTGCATTAGGAGAGCTACACTAACATATGCCAAGAACATCAATTTTTGTGGGGCTGGTCGTGGCTCCATCATTTGAGTATATAGCTCTTTAAAAAACTTGGCATAGGATGGGATATGTTGGATCACGTCAAGGAGGGGGAAGTTAATATGGACTTTCCAACTCTCTTCGTTGCGAATCTCTTAGTTCTTTCGCACCARCTCAGTTGTGAGTGTAGTTGGAAAGGGAACCACAGGTTGGTTCACTATAGGCTTTTCTTCTAAAGTTTCCTTTCATTTTTCATCYCCCCCAAATTATGGTCTTCCTCCTCCTTTTCTTCTTTACTAACTCTCTTTTTTTCACACGGGTCCTCTAAAATCGTCCCACTCCTTAAGATTGTAATAGCCTTAGTATTTTCAAGATGAGGGTCCTTAAGAGGTGGTTGAATCTACTGTGGAGGAAAACCTAGTGGCTAATTTCTAGGGTTTGCAACCGGTTGACTCGGTAGTTGCCCTACTTCTCTCCTCGCCTTGGCTTCGGCTAACTGTCNTAGTTTTTTCATGGTTTTTATGACCTAGGCCAGACCACCCAAACCCAAGTCGCTTTGCTTTCGGATGTAAGTGGACGAGACCAATAGGTGTGGACATGTGATTTGCATGGGATCAATACTGATGTGTGTTTCAGCCTAGTGTGGATCTACATAATGACATGGAATGGCCTTATGGTCTTTATAGTGCATGTGTCGAGGGCCTCAAGGACCGGACCTTCCAAACTCTGGGTCCATTTGCCTTTGGATGTGTGCGGACGCAATCGATAGGTGTGGACATATGGTTTGGATGGGATCAGTATTGTTATGTGATTCAACGTAGTGTGGATGCACATAATGAGATGGATTGACCCAGGGGCCTTAAGGACCGGACCACCCGAACACAAAGCTCATTTTCCTCTCGATGCGGGCGGACGTAGCTGATGGGTGTGGACTTGTCATTTGCACGAGATCAATACCGTTGTGTTTCATGCTAGTGTATTCCAAATATGGTGGATTATTTTATGCATATATTGAGATGGAATGACCCAATGGTCCTTATAGTGTAGCTGCTGGAGGTGTTAGTGA